CCGCCCATTGGCTGGCGCGAGGTGAGGGCGCCGCGTTCTATATTTAGAAAGTCGGGCCGGTTCTAGGCGCGCGGAGGAATGCTCGGACCGAGGGGCGGGGCCACGTCCTCATTAGGTCACTGGGGTGGGGCTCTAGCTAGCCCCGCCCCCCACCCTGTGCCTCAATTTCTCCCTGCAGTGCGGGGATCCTGGGATCGTTGGGGCCCGGTCACCGGGGGCCCTGTACCGCACCACTAGGACTCCCTGCCTTCGCCAGGGTCGTGCAGGGGGCAGGGCAGAGATGGGGGGCGCAGATCGGGGCGGTGCTGTAGAAATCCCGGATCTGGGGGGTGACTGCAGTACCCGGGGTGCCAGGAACCAGCTGGGGCGAGAAAATCAGTGCATGGTGGGATATCGGAGGACAGCCCTAAAGCTGGGAAGCGGTGGAGAAGGTGAGAGTCCCCGGGGCAAGATGGGGGGCATGGCCTGGAATTTGTCGCCACAGAAATCCTGGCGCTGGGGGGCATTATGGCATCCAGACTAGGAGGAGCCGGCAGGGGGAAGGCAGTGCATTGTGGGATGCTAGAGGGCAGGCCTGGCTGTCCTACAGGTATAAGGGTAGGGGAAGCGCTGCTCTTGTGGGGTTGGACCCCTTTTCCATCTCCCTGCACCCGGGAAGCCAGGGGCAAGGCCCTAAAAGCCTAAAAAATGACCTGAATCAAAAACTGGGAGAAAACAACAGGACCCCCCCAGGAGATGCCCCCCCCTTTGGTGAGAACAGGGGGTGTAGGCCCCAGGCTCTGGCCCCCAAATGAGACTCAGCGCTCCCCTCCCCCCCAAACACCCCCTTCCCCTGACACAAACACAAGCAGAACCCAGGCATTCTGGATACATGTGGACACAACCCAGGTGTCCTTGGTATACACACACATGCACAGGTACACACTTCCTCCCCTCCCTGCCCCAGGACTGCAGCACTGGCCCCAGCAGGCAGAGACCCAGGACTGTTTCCCCCCAGACACGAGCCTGGGTGCTGCAGGTCTGGGCAGCTCTTGGGGCTCCCGAGAGCTCTACATGAGAGACTACAGCAGGGAGAGAACCCTGATGCCCTGAGCTCTGCCCCTGGGTGTGCCTCAGTTTCCCACTCCCTGAGCAGGGCACTGGCTAGCTCAGGGCCTTTCTCCTCTCCTGATCTGGAAGTACTGGCTTAGAGGAGGGAGGGTGGTTTCCAGGGTTGGGGGACACATCCCCATCCCCAAAGGCCCCTACCCAGCAGCAGCTGCCTCCCCCTCCCTGAGAGAGACTTTGGGCCCCTCCAGCCCAGCTGCTTTCAACCCCTTCCGCACGTCTAACCCCTCATCCAGAGATGGCCCCAGAGGGGGAAATGGCCCCTTACTCTGAGGGGAAGACAACCCCTGACCCCAGGGGAGTAGGAGCTATGAATCAAGGCCTCCTGGGGGCCTCATGGAGGGAATGCAGCAGAGCAGGCCAGCAAGGAGCACATCACCCCTAGCCTAACCCCCACAAGCCCCCCACCCCACCCCCAATAGACAGAGGCACCTGCACACACTGCATCCAAGAAATCTCAGTTCCTTTATTGTAGGCCCAGCAGGCAGCGGCTGGGGCAGGTCCGTGACCAGGGCACGGGGCCCGTGGCCTGTCCTGCCACCAGCCCTGTGGCGCCGGAGCCGTTTGTTCGGTTTAATGCACTCGACCCAACGTTGGTTTGGCATATCGAAAACGGACAGACAGGGGACGCAGCGATGGGGGGTGGGGGGAGCCCCAAGGCACCGGCTGAGCCACCCCCCCCAACCCCAGACAGGTGAAGGGACTGGGACAAAGATGACTCTGGAAAGAGGCCGCCCAGCCTATGAGGTACCAGCATAGGGGAGCCCAGATGCCTGGGTTCTGTTCCCCCACTCAGCCCAGCATAGCTTTGTGCCTCAGTTTCCCCGCCCAGGCTTGCTGCTGAGGCCCACATGGGGGTATATGTACAGCACCTGGTGCAGTGTGGGCTGGCTCCCCTCAGACTGCAGTGCAGGCAATGAATGCTCTGGTTTATTTGGTATTCAGTTGCACCAGTGACCCTGAGGGGAGGGAGGGGGGCAGTGATGGGTTCCCCCCACCCCAGCCTCAGCTACCACCAGATCATCTTGAGACCCAGGTACCCCCTGAGGGGCAGATGAAGGGACCCCCCCCAGCCCCACCTGGGTCTAGGAGGGATGGAGAAGGGGACTTGAACACAGGGCAGGGCAGATGAAACTTGGAGGGGTGGCACCCAGGTGATAACCCCACCTCCCCTATGATTGGCTAGCAGGCACCCAATCACCGAGAAGAGCTCTGGCGGGAAGGGGGAGGCCTAGGCCTTTATTGGTAGTGGGAGACAAGAGCTAGGAGCTGATTGGAGGGCTCTGAGCTTCTCTTCCCTTTTGAAAGGGGCCAGGACAGCCTCATGGTGCCCAGAGGTGTGATCCCACCTGGGCTGTGACACGATTGAGGTGGGGTCTCCATGGCGGGCAATTACCAACAGGACATGGAGCAGAAGGCCCAGGTGCCCCAGGCAGAGAGGCAGCGACTGTCAAACCAGGGGCTGGTATTGAGCAGCGCTGGTGGCCAGGCTCTCCTGTCAGTCCTACGGTGAAGCTCTGGTTCCTCTGCTATAGCCCTGCCTCTTGCACTGATATCCCCCAGTGGGGAGACTGGGGTAGAAGAGGCAAATCCTTTTGCCAGGGCATCTTTGCTTCCCCCTCTGCCCTGGAAGGCAGCTCCCCTGGAGCTGAGCCCAGCCTGGCCCTATAACTCAGTGCACTTGTGAGAGGCTTAAAGCCCAGGGGGTTGGGGAGAGGGCCATTGGGGGTGGGGTCCTGCATGCTGAACCCCCACCATAGTGCGGGAGGGCACCGCTTTAGATTTCACAGAAGGCCTTGCAGCCCAAATCGGGGTGGGGGGCCTGGACCAGCCATGATCTTCAGCTCCCATGAAGGGTGGGCATGGGGAGTGGTGGGGAGGGAGCTGCCTCATGCCAGAAGGTGGCCCTCAGCTATGGGGGAGGGGAACAGGACACAAAGGGGGTCCACAGACCCCATGCCAAAGCCTCACCAGGGTAAAAGGGGGGAGCACCATGCCCAGAGGCCACCTCCACCCCAAGCAGGGCCAAGGAGCCAGGAACACCCCCTCGGCAGGTGTAAATCAGTCGACGGAGCAGCCCTGTCTACACTACTCCACTCCTATCATATCAGCCCCTATCCCACAGCCCTGTTGTCCTTGGGCCCAGGTCCTGCGGGGGAGGTGGCAGCCTCATAGCCAGCCAGACGAACCAAAGGGGCCGCTTGCGGCCGGGTGGGGGTGACAAGGGATGTGGCGAGTCACAGACATGGCGCGTTCTTGGTTATATATTACATAAAAATTGTGCCAAAAACAGTTCGTTTCTCCTTTTTTGTTGTTGGTTTGTGGGGGGGTTTTTTTGTTGCTTTTTTGTCTTTTTCCCATTTTTTCTTTTTTTTGTTTTTTTGATCATAAAAATCCGCCTGTGGGCCAGCAGGGGAGGGTGCAGGGGATGGGGGTGGCCACGGCACGGCGGACGCACATGTGCCTCGAGGGGACGGGGCGCAGACAGACACATGGACACGCGGTGGGTCCCTTGTGGTGGGCGCCGAGGGAACAGTTTTTCCCACCTTCTTTTGTACTTCCCCCCCTTATTTGCAATATTTACAGCATTTCTGCACCCCCCTCCACAAAAAAACAGTGCCTCCCCCCACCCTCCCCCCAAAACGGCGCCTTGGAGGGGTCTCCAGCCCCATGAGGAGAATTTTGCTTTGTGCTTCGAGAGGGAGTCCATGTTGACGTGGGGGAGCTCTGCTTTTTTTTTCCACCTTGGAAAGAAAAAAAAAACAACACACAAAGGGTTCGGGGCGGGGTCCAGGCTGGGGGGGGGGAAATCGGTTCATTTTTTCCCTTGCTTTTCTGCTTTTTCTCCCCTCAATTTTTGTAGGGTCTTTTTTTTCCCCCACTCAGCATCCAACATGGGAGAGGGGAAGTGAGTTCAGCTCCAGCAGCCCTTTGTGGCACCTGACCGCCACCCCCACTCCCATAATCCTTACCCCCCTCCCCTTCTCTAGACCCCAGCAAGAGTGGAAAGGACAGACGGACGCAGGGACGGAGCAGCGTAGCTGAGGGCAGTGTTAGCTCCCCCTCCATACGCACACACGACTTCTAGAGGCTCCAACGCCCCCAGAAAGCTGCGGGGGGAGGTGGGGGGCAGAGAGGACATGAAGAGAAGGCAACACCTCCCCCCCATTCAAGGCAGTGGCCATGGCACCGTGCACCCCCTCAGGAAGATAGCAGGAGCTGAGGGAAAAGGCAGTGTGCGAACCAGTCCCCCCCCCAGCACCACGGGGGCAAATACTGGGAGCTATGGGCCATCTCTGCCCACCCCTGGCCTAGCTATGTCTCTCCCTGGCTATAGCTCTCTCTCTGTATATATAGATATAGATATATAGCAATTTTTTAATATATATATATATATATTAATT